ACATCTTTGTGGCACATTGTTTGTCGGACATAAGGCCATTAGAATTCTTGCTCCAGAGCATCCTTCTTTCCCTCGGGGCTGCATATGTTACCCTTCCACTTTGTAAAGCTCTACCTACCCGTTGGCCTAGTCCCACCCAGGATGGTGTTCGCCGTACATCAATACCTATGCTCCCCCTGCCGCCAGTGGCAGGGCTCCTATCCTCGGTGTCTGCAACCCCTCTTCTTATAACCCCCAATGCTGAAACTCCCTTGCTACCTCAAGAGCTTTCCAAAAAAATTAAACCATGAAGCTCACGTAAAAGGACTTCCTAAACATACGATGTAGGGCAATTCCTACTATCTTCTTCTAGTCTCTTCAGAACATTGCAGAGCCCTTTTTTTAAACGTCCCAAAAGCTGGAAACCGGGTCCAGCGTCCCAATTATGCTCCCAATGTTCCTTTATTTCTCAGAATTCTCAAAGACGGCTAAGACGCCTTGTATCCTACTGTTCTTACCCAGTAACTTAAAGCCAAAAAACCGCCCAAGACGGCTAGGTTTCCCTTCACGCTCAGTCTTATGAGGCTAACATCACCTCAACCACTGTGCTATAGACATTGTTGTCTCATCTGAGGCTGTCGCGAAGTAGCCTTTCAGGGCCCATCTTCTTCCAAACTGAACAAAGCTGGACCTTTTCCAGTCTGCTAATATTGCCAGTCAAATATCCTGTTTTATCGTGTTGCAGGTCTGTTGAAGCGGGATTGTATTCTTCTTGAATACTTTGGCATTTCTCATATCCCACAGAGCTTCCAAGATAATACCCCTGCAGATTAAAGCAACGTACCACACCCCTGATTCAAAACTGGCTCCCTCTGGGATCTTCCCATATAGGGTGAAGGAGTCTGCCCAGTCCTCTGTGACTGCTTCCCAATCCTTCCATTTCTCTTTCCACCATTCCCACACCCTGTCCGAGTAGGGGCAGTATCGCCATAGATGCACTGCGTTTTCCCAGCCCCAGTCACATCTCATGCAGGTTGTTGGTATGTCCATCCCCTTAGTATTTAGCCAGGTGGCCATGGGTGTCACCTGCAGAGATTGGAGCCAGAGGAGAGCCGCTTGTTTCTGCGATGGCATCTTCTTCAGGGCTTTCCATAGTTTGTACAAATCCCGATCGTGCACTCCAGTAACCTGTAGATCTACTAATCTACTTATGACCGTGGTCACTGGTTTCTTTATTACTCTTGTCCGCCCAAGGATAGCTCCTGTCTTAGTTTTATAGGCGACCAGGGGACATTTGTCCTGGCCTGGCGTGTCCCAACCCGTTAACAGTGGTTCAACTTTTCTTGGATCTTCCTCCATGTTTATGACCCCTGTATGTAGTGTTAGGACCCTTGTCCTGTTCCCACACTCTCTTTTCCCTGGCCTCTACTGTAGATGGGACTGTGGAATCTTCGATGAACGTCAGGTTACTTCTTCTGTTATTTCTTACTCTCCAGCTCTGGACCTTTACCCCAGAGGTAGGGTCTGGCCCTGTGACCTTCCAGAGAATCCGTTCGTCCGTTACGGACTGTAGCCAGACCCCCGGGGCGAACTCTGCATCTTTTTGGAGAGACGTAAACCAACTCAGCGGCGCAGCATCCTTCACCTTTTGGAAATTGACCTCCAGATTCCGCATCCTGGGGAGCTTTGCTCTGAGTTGCTGTACGGTTATCCAGGTTCCCTGCTCATAGTCCCACAGATCTCTAACTTGAATTATTCCTTTCTCAACCCAGGCTCTTGCAAACGATGCTCCCATCTGCAAGCAGAGGATCTCCCCCCACGGGTTTGATATTATCGTTTTCAAACAAGAGCTGGTTAAAAATTTCCTCCTTTGAGGACGGCTCCCCTAGTGGCTGTGGCCTCAACTTGTTCCATGCGTACAGGATATTTTTCCATACTCGAGACTTTGGACGTCTCTGACAGTAGGATTTCATCTGAAAGCACAGCCATACGTGTTCCCCGTCTTGGAGATTCCATTCCATCATCAGCATGTATTCCGCCAGCACAATCCATAACTTATTCTTTGGGCCGAACATCGCCATCACAGGCCATTTTGCCAGTAGGGCATGGTTCTGTTCTCGGGGATCCAAGATTCCAAACCCCCCCTGATTGCGATCGCAGGTAATTGTCTCCCAGGCGACTTTTGTGATGTAACCCTCGGTTTCCTGTGCCTGTGGTTTCCAAATATATCTTGCTCCAATTTTATTTATTGCTTTGTATGCTTCATCTCCCAGCAGATGTACTGTAAGGGGGAACCACAGTATTGAAAAAGCTGCCTGAGACAAGGCCAAGGCCCTCCCAAACAGGGAGAGTCTGTAGTTTCTGGCCCATCCCAGCACCGTACCAA